GCAAAACTTAACATAATAGCCATTGAGTCTTGGTGGGCGGGATAACTGATGAGGCGTCGGAAATGCCACTTATGAGGGGCGCAGCGCCTTAGCTTCTCTTTGTGAAGACGCGAAAGTGGGATCATCTTGGAGACAGCCAGAATACTTGGACAAAGGAGGACGCCGACGAATTTCTCGAGCGCGGGGATTGTCTCTAAGTCAGAAAATAGGAAAGGCTAGGAAAACAAAGCCAGGGAGTAATAAAAAAGCTAATTATTCTTCAAAAATGCAAAGATTGAGCACCGAAATAGCTCTCATTCACTTGTTACACCTCTTATCCCTGGTACACGGTGCGCGTGGCTGCGTACCTCATTCGAACATGACGTAGCATGCGTATTTATGGAGGTATTTCAATCAGAGACAACTATCACCTCGCCCACCGTTGATAAAGATATGTCTACAATTGTTCCAAAAGAGAATATCCGATCAGGAACCAGCGCCGCCACCTTTGAATAACGTACGACTACAGCATCTCGGTGATCCTTCAATAGAGGTTTACTGAGGATTTTGAGCGCGCTACAACTTAGCTTTAAGCCTATTGAAAAGTATCCCTTCATGGGCCGCAAACATTCCGTAGAACCGTCATAGAACTACAAGGAACCGTATTAAAGGAGAAGGCAAAATTCTATAGTTTGAATTCTAATTTTAATTCTATAGTTTTAGTCAAGTTTTGATCGTGGACTTTCCTCGGTTCTCCCTGTTTCAAGTGCGCTATAGCCCCTCTACTCCCCATCCCTACCGCTCGACGGCAGGGCACATCATTATTGGGGATTCCCAACAGGGGGTCGTATTCAGTCGCTGGGAAAGGGGGGAAGTCGTTTCTGGGCTTAGGAAAGTTTGTTTTGGTAGTTGATTTTTCTTGTTTCACGGACGTTGTAAAAGGGATAGGGGTCGTATTCCACTTCTGGCCTTCTAGTGGGAGAGATTGAAGAGGTTGCTGACTTTTTGTGCCTGTTTCAGGTGCACTATGTATATCTCACCCCCACTCGACAACTCAATCGTATCAGAGGAGGGAACGAGGGAGGGGGAGGGCAGGTACCAACCCCCTGAAAAAAAAGAAGAAACCGGGGGGGGGGGGTTGTACGGACTCGACCAAAAAACCCCAACCAATGATATGTCCTGCTTGACGGACTGGGGTTTCTGAGTAAAAACTGGAGAACTACTCCACGTGATAGGACAGTCGTATTCTACATCAAGTACAGGATGGGCCCTTAGTGGAAGTGGGAGATAGGGCTACGCAATCCTCAAAGTGCATGAGAAAAGGGATGATCACTGCACAGCCTTACACTCCGATAACTTTTTGGTTATTTCTAATCACTTCCCACTGATGGCGGTGCCTAGAACTTGGTCTCGGCGCAGTTTGTCGACGTGGGGGTGGGGCATTTTGCTTTCCATAGATGTGTCGACCCATCTAGGCAGCCGTTTCTCGAGTTGACACGTTTTAGGATAGTGGCTAGACGATCTTACTTCAGCTTCACAAGAGTTCACAAGTTTTACCAGAGTGAGATTTGTAAACCGGAACTAGGGAAGCAATGATAATACAAAATGCCCCCCGTCGACAAACAGCGCCCTGTCTCTGATGGATCCCTATGTTCATTTCGCGAAGTATATCACAAAACCAGTGAAGGGTAACGCTAGGAGTCGTTGTGGCATTTCTGTCTAGTTGTCCCAGGAGAAGTATGTGGAATAGGATAGCTGCGGTAGAACAGGGTTTACCCTGTTTTCAGACGTAAAAGGCGCATCCGGGTATAAGGCCCACCTCCTAGATTGCTTCGACGGTACCTCTATTTCCGTCCACGCGATGTTAGAACCGCTGTAGCTCTTCTGATGAGTATGGCCAAGAAGCTTTGCCTCTTGGAATGGCTCAAAATTGGCTTTACTGACCAAAAATGTCGACCTCGCAGAGAACCGGCGAACCGGACGATACGTTGTGTTCCAAGAATC